TTTCAAGTCATTCGGTTGTGGGGTTCGGGAGTTATGGGTCTTTGAAGTTTTGACCGACCGCACAGGATTTTCAGCCGAAAAGAGTTCCACAAGTTTTGGCCTTGCGGTCGGTCCCCGTTCGTGAATAAAAACCCCACGAACCTCTTGCCATCCACAGTAATCCTGCCGTTCGCCTGAATCCCCATGCATGCTTAAACAAAACTACCGAACGGTCGGTCGTTCGGTAGTTTCAGCACGAACTTACGAGCTCCTGGAGGTTTCAGCGGTGTTCGCCTGTTTGCGTATCCGTTTTTAGTTCCATGCGTTCACAGGCAAACACCGCCGTTCGTGCGTAAGATGGCCGCGAACACGTGTAAAGTCCCCAAATGGCGGCCACCTATTCTGAGACAAAGGGATTCGTCTGAACCATGCGAACGGCTCCACAATCACTGGGAGGTAAAATAGTAATTAACTGTTCCCCTGGGTGGTCTGATGTTCGGTATTTTGGGTAGCAATAGTTACACGAACACCAGTCATTCGGTTCTGTTTAAACTCCCCAGCAGCACTGTAGATTAAGTTCAGGCACCAGAACCAGCCTTATCAGCATCGCTTGCTGGACCTGCGGCAATGCTGGAAGAGGATTGTGAGGAAGAGGAGTCAGAGGGGGAAAGTGGCTTTGAGGAGGAGGAGGAAGACCAACCACAACAGGCATCCCAGGGTGCTCGTTGTCACCTATCTGGTACCCATGGTGTTGTACGTGGCTGGGGGGAAGAAAATACCTTCATTGAGATCACTGAGGAGGAGGAACGGGAAAAGAGTAGCTCGGCATCCAACCTTGTGCAAATGGGGTCTTTCATGCTGTCGTGCCTGTTGAGGGACCCTCGTATAAAAAGGCTGAAGGAGAACGACCTGTACTGGGTGTCCACGCTACTAGACCCCCGGTATAAGCAGAAGGTGGCTGAAATGTTACCAAATTACAACAAGTCGGAAAGGATGCAGCATTTGCAAAATAAATTAAAAAGTATGCTTTACACGGCGTATGAGGGTAATGTCACAGCACAACGGGAATCTAACAGGGGAAGAGGTAAAAGTAATCCTCCTCCTCCCACAACCATGCCGGCAAGGACAGGACGCTTTACAGACGTGTTGTTGATGGAGGACATGCGGAGCTTTTTAAGTCCTACGAATAGCCACAGTCCTTCGGGATCCACCCTCAGAGAACGACTTGACCGCCAGGTAGCAGACTACCTCGCCTTAACTGCAGATATCAATACTCTGAGGAGCGATGAACCCCTTCACTACTGGGTGTGCAGGCTTGACCTGTGGCCTGAGCTATCCCAATTTGCGATAGAACTTCTGGCCTGCCCCGCTTCAAGTGTCCTGTCAGAAAGGACCTTCAGTGCATCAGGAGGTATTGTCACTGAGAAGAGAAGTCGCCTAGGTCAAAAAAGTCTAGATTACCTCATCTTTATTAAGATGAATGAGGGATGGATTCCGACGGGACTGACAGTGGGCGATACATCCGACTAAAAAAGGCCTGATGAGATGAGCTGCCTTGGGCTAAAAATGGTCCACACGCTGCTGTATTTTAGCTCTGAATGCTGGTTGACTTGTGTGACTTATCCGCCACCAACTAGGGTTCAAGCCGCAATGTTTTAGGGCAGTGCTCCCCAATCTTTTTATCGCCGCGGACCGGTAAACGTTTGATCCACATTTGGGGAACACTGTTTTAGGGCACTTTCTGCCTGGGAAATAAACATCAATTCTTCTGGCCGCTGCTACAGCAGCGGCTGCAACAATACCTAATTTTTCAGGCATGTGTACATGCCTAATTTTTCGGGCCTCTGGTGCTGCACTGTGGTTTCAAAAACCAAACCAAAAAAAAGGCACATAACAGGGATTAAACAGATAAGAATAATACTACTTAACACACCTTATAATAACGCAGAGAGAGGCAATGCAGAGAGGAGTCTAAAGAAGAGTAGTCAGAGGAGAAGGTGGCTTTGAGGAAGTGGAAGACCAAACACAGCAGGTGTCCCAGGGGGCTTGTTGTCACCTTTCAGGGACCCTTGGTGTTGTACGTGGCTGGGTGGAGGAAGAGACCTTCAATGACATCAGTGAGGACAAGGAACTGGACATGGCTAGCTTGGTATCCAACCTTGTGCAAATGGGGAGTTTGCGGTTGTGCAAATGGACTGTTTGCGGTTGTTTGCGGTGCGTTAAACAGGGAGTTTGGTCTGTCACTGAAGCGGGTGTAACCCTTACACTACCTGATCGATACAACATCATACAGTAGGTCCCCCCCCCTCATTATTTTTATGGCCCCCACCCACCGCTCATGGGTGAGGGCAGGCGGGAGGACAGTAGGTCCCTCCCCCCCCATTGAGATTTATGGCCCCCACCCACCGTGGTGGTCCCCCCTTATCCTTATTTACTGAATATTCCCCTGTATAACAATGTTTGGCATTTAGTGAATATTCCCTATTCTGCTCTGTGTCAGTGTGTATCATGATCTCTGAGGACAGGTGTCAATTCATATCTGCCAAGTGACCCTATGTAGGAGGAACAGTCTCTATTCTGCTCTGTGTCAGTGTGTATCAGGGGCTCTGAGGACAGGTGTCAATCCATATCTGCCAAGTGACCCTATGTAGGAGGAGCAGTCTCTATTCTGCTCTGTGTCAGTGTGTATCAGGGGCTCTGAGGACAGGTGTCAATCCATATCTGCCAAGTGACCCTATGTAGGAGGAACAGTCTCTATTCTGCTCTGTGTCAGTGTGTATCAGGGGCTCTGAGGACAGGTGTCAATCCATATCTGCCAAGTGACCCTATGTAGGGGGAATAGTCTCTCTTCTGCTCTGTGTCAGTGTGTATCAGGGATCATTAGGATAGGTGTCAATCCATATCTGCCAAGTGACCCTATGTAGGGGGAACAGTCCCAATTCCGCTCTGTGTCAGTGTGTATCAGGGATCCTTAGGACAGGTGTCAATCCATATCTGCCAAGTGACCCTATGTAGGGGGAACAGTCTCTATTCTGCTCTGTGTCAGTGTGTATCATGGTCTCTAAGGACAGGTGTCAATCCATATCTGCCAAGTGACCTTATGTAGGGGGAACAGTCTCTATTCTGCTCTGTGTCAGTGTGTATCATGGTCTCTGAGGAAAGGTGTCAATCCATATCTACCAAGTGACCCTATGTAGGGGAAACAGTCTCTGTTCTGCTCTGTGTCAGTGTGTATCATGATCTCTGAGGACAGGTGTCAATCCATATCTGCCAAGTGACCCTATGTAGGAGAACAGTCTCTATTCTGCTCTGTGTCAGTGTGTATCATGGTCTCTGAGGACAGGTGTCAATCCATTCCTGCCAAGTGACCCTATGTAGGGGGAACAGTCCCTATTCTGATCTGTGTCAATATGTCATATGTCAGGTATCAATCCATATCCATTGTGATTTAGGAATGTTAGGTGATTTCTGCCCTTTATGGATTAAAACCAGACTCTGCATCAACTATGTAATTTTCCATGGGAGTTTTGCCATGGATCCCCCTCCGGCATGCCACAGTCCAGGTCTTAGTCCCCTTGAAACAACTTTTCCATCACTGTTGTGGCCAGAAAGAGTCCCTGTGTGTTTTAAAATTCGCCTGCCCATTGAAGTCTATGGCGGTTCGCCCGGTTCGCGAACAGTTGCGGAAGTTCGCGTTTGAGAACCGAAAATTTCGTGTTCGCGACATCACTAATGGCAATTGATCTGTATGTGTGTGCTCTGAGCGCCATTCAGTAATAATGTGCGCTCAGATCTGAGCTATCTTGGGATATGTTGACTGTTTTGTGCAATGGCTGCACAGTTTTATGTTTTTATGTGTTTTATTGTCTTTTGCTGCCATGTGTTCAATGCAGTTTTGCCTCTGTCTTTGGAGATAATTGGATTACTTCCCAATTATCTCCAGGATAGAAGACTCTGTGGAACTGGTTTTGGGCAGAAAAAACACGCTTCCTTTGGTCACAAAGGACTACGATCTATCTTTTGAACCATTGGACCAATTTGTATGAATTTGACATATGTTTGTATTTGGAGTATGCTGATTCTGAAAATGTAAGTTATGTGAATGTGATGCATACTTTTCAAGTTATGAATAATGTGGGAAAATTGTATTTCTCTGCTTGTGCTAATTACATTACCCATTGTGTAAGGTAATTGAATCACAGGCAGAGGGGAGGAATTTGTGTGGGAGTGTATGAGTGTATTGTATGTGTTTATTGGTTGTGTTCCAAAACCCTGTGGGTGGTACTATGTGTAAGAATGTGTACATAAGCACAATAAACCCACAGCTCTGACTGTTCACTGCTTGACCCTCAACACGGAGCTTTGTTTCGTTCTTGGGGGGATTTATTGTATGCTGTTCCAGTTTGACTGCTAGGAGTGTAAACCTATTCATATGGTTTTTCCTATTCGGCTGTTTACAGCATTCATATGGTTTCCTGTTCGGCGGATTGGTGTTCTGCAGTAGCTGTGCCTGTGTCTCTGGAAGGGAAGATCTACTAAACGGCGGTTTAACCCTTTTATGCCTGGGGGTGCCGTTACATGCCCATTTACAAGAAAGGTAATAGGGAGGAGTCGGGCAACTATAGGCCAATAAGCCTTACTTCAGTAGTGGGGAAAGTGATGGAAACCATGTTAAAGGATAGGATTGTTGAACATCTAAAAACACATGGATTTCAAGATCAGAGACAACATGGGTTTACTTCAGGGAGATCATGCCAAACTAATCTTATTGATTTTTTTGATTGGGTAACTAAAATTATAGATTAGGGTGGTGCAGTAGACATTGCTTACCAAGATTTCAGTAAGGCTTTTGACACTGTTGCACATAGAAGGCTTATCAATAAACTGCAATGTTTAAGTTTGGATTCCAATATTGTTGAATTCCAATATTGTTGAATGGGTAAGGCAGTGGCTGAGTGACAGGCAACAGAGGGTTGTAGTTAATGGAATATATACTAAGCTTGGACTTGTCACCAGTTGGGTACCTCAGGGATCTGTACTTGGACCCATTCTCTTTAATATTTTTATTAGTGATATTGCAGAAGGTCTTGATGGTAAGGTATGTCTTTTTGCTGATGATACTAAGATATGTTGTTATGGGCAAATGCAAATATTACAAGTTTTAGAATGAAATGTTGTATTTCTTAAACTGTGTACTTTGTCTTTAAGAGATATTGCAAACTGACAAGGTGTTAGACATGGAACATATTGTTTTTCATAGATGTTTCTTTAAGCAATAACCTCAGTGCATAATATGTTTGCGCCGTTTTGTCCCAGACGAATTACAATAACAATAATGCATAAACAAGCTTCAAGGATATACTACGACACTTGCAGTACACAATATACTGTGGTAACCCCAAGTTAATGGAACTTCCCCAAATCCGGGAATCTCCCACGACTGCGCACTTACGACTTAGTATAAACAACAGATAAGCTATTCAGACTTTAAGATGCCATCTTGAACTAAGTCAGGAAAATTTCCGTGACGTATACACCCTTTAGTTATGGCCTTGTATGTTTGCCAAGTTAAGGGAGGTCCTAAAATGAATAAAGTAAAAGAAGTGGTACTTTTTCATATATGAACTATGGTAACTCTAAAATGACGACACCTAAGGTATAAATAGGTGTACTTTTAAATTTTAAGAGACAGAGGAGAGACTTGGAGACAGACGCTGCTCCATCTTAAAATGACAGAGAGGCTGACATGATGCCATGTTCAGAAGGGTATGTTAACCTATTAATGATATTTGCAAGCATGTAATTTAAATCTTATAAACTCTGCTATAATGGATTTTATATTTTTATATAATAAATATCCAAAAGACAATCTTGCTTCCAAGACAATCCTTATTTTATATTGTATTCTCAATTATTTATATATGTTAAATAGAGGATCTCTTACACTATATAAAATTATGGCTAAGATATCTGTATGGTTAGCCCTACTAAGTTCTATGCTTTAAGACATTATAGTGGTAAATAAGGGAACCACACACGGTTACAATGTAACAGGGTTGATTTTCCAGGAGGGATAAGCCAAATGGCAAATGATTTAGGTAAACTAGAAAAATGGTCAGAATTGTGGCAACTGACATTTAATGTGGATAAGTGCAGATAATGCATCTTGGACGTAAAAACCCAAGGGCAGAGTACAGAATATTTGATAGAGTCAACATATGAGGAAAGGGATTTAGGGGTGATTATTTCTGATGGTAGGCAGACAATGTAATAGAGCAGCAGGAAATGCTAGCAGAATGCTTGGTTGTATAGGTAGAGGTATTAGCAGTAGAAAGAGGGGAAGTGCTCATGCCATTGTACAGAACACTGGTGAGACCTCACTTGGAGTATTGTACGCAGTACTGGAGACCGTATCTTCAGAAGGATATTGATACCTTAGAGAGAGTTCAGAGAAGGGCTACTAAACTGGTTCATGGATTGCAGGATAAAACTTACCAGGAAAGGTTAAAGGATCCTAACATGTATAGCTTGGAGGAAAGACGAGACAGGGGGGATATGATAGAAACATTTAAATACATAAAGGGAATCAACACAGTAAAGGAGGAGACTATATTTAAAAGAAGAAAAACTACCACAACAAGAGGACATAGTCTTAAATTAGAGGGACAAAGGTTTAAAAATAATATCAGGAAGTATTACTTTACTGAGAGGGTAGTGGATGCATGGAATAGCTTTCCAGCTGAAGTGGTAGAGGTTAACACAGTAAAGGAGTTTAAGCATGCGTGGGATAGGCATAAGGCTATCCTTAATATAAGATAAAGCCAGGGACTAATGAAAGTATTTAGAAAATTGGGCAGACTAGATGGGCCGAATGGTTCTTATCTGCTGTCACATTCTATGTTTCTATAAAGAAAAATTGTATACAGAGAATTTCCTAAAAAAGTGTACCTGCCTTTCAATAGGCTTTGATTGACAAGTCACAAAACAAGGAGTAGAGTCAGCGCTAATCAGGAAGGCAGCAGTCCCAAACAAGGACTCCCTCTAATGTCCCTGGAAATAAATAGACAAAGCAAGAAAATAGGGGATGGGTCTGCACCACTGTGCACAACAGGTAATGATATTAAGTCCAATAGGATCTATATCGTTATATCCAAAGTTCTACTTTATACGATATCCAGAAGATGTCAATGACTTGGAGGATAACCCAAATATATAAAATTAGAAGAGTTCTTACTTACAGTTGACAGAGCTTAATCCAGCTCTGGTGTGAATGGCTAACAGCGGTATTATCCCTGCTTGCAGGATATACCACAAGTGTCCTCTTCTATGTAGTGGCAGGTAACCAAGTTGGAAATAAAAATGGAAACAATAATGGTGCAGTATGTTCCACACATGCGATAAAAGATATAAAATATAATAGATACACTCACATTCGGTAGAGCTTCAGCTAGTTCTAGTTTGTTAGGCGTGCAGCGGTATGATCCCCGCTTGTAGGATATGAGATAAGTGATCTTGACGCGAATATTAGTAGCTCGGAGAGAAGATAAAACAGCGATAGTGCTCTCAAAATCTTTGGTGATAAAATAAAATGATAAAATATACTCACAATATATAGGGCAGATTAACTGCTCTTTGTAACAGCGTAGGTGGTATGATCCACACCTAGGATTCTTTGGAGTATTATATCCAGGAAATAAAAACAATAAAAGAAGTATACAGAATTAAATATATGTAAAAGCCAGGTAGTAGTAAAAGATGATGGTTTCAACGTAAAAATTACCAAAATCTTTTTATTAACAGTATATAAAAACAGTAAAAGTATACATATATTTTTACTGTTTTTATATACTGTTAATAAAAAGATTTTGGTCTGGATTAAGCTCTGTCAACTGTAAGTAAGAACTCTTCTATTTTTATATATTTGGATTATTCTCCACGTCATTGACATCTTCTGGATATCATATAAAGTAGAACTTTAGATACAACGATATAGATCCTATTGGACTTAATATCATTATCTGTCGTGCACAGTGGCACAGACCCATCCCCCATTTTCTTGCTTTGATTGACAAGTACTCAATAAAGCAGAAGCCAAGTGAAAGGAGACAAGGGAAATAAGGTGAAATAATTGTTTTAAGGAGAAAGGAGGGAAGGAGAAAGAGAAGGAAAGAGAGAAGGGAAAGAAAGAGAGAAATGGGGAGAAAGGGAAGAAAAAAACATACAAATAAAGATTTGGTCAATAAACTAAACAATTGAGAGAAGAGAATAATATGACACCAAAGGAAACTCAACACAATACAAAGAATACGCAAACCATGACAGCAACAGCCCAAAAAAACACCATGAAGCATTTTTTTTACAGATTTGGCTGGAGTGGAAGAGACTAACAAAGCGGTCCCACAAATATCTATAAGATATTTTTCCCTCCCACAGCTATCAAGTCCTGTAGACTCTGAAACATCAGATGATTTAGACCTTAAAGCTATCTTATCTCAGTTGCTCTCAAAATCTGACCTTGCAGGCATGGTGAAAAAATTTGAGAATAGCTTCAGTGATAAACTGAACTAGCAATTTACAACACTTAGGAGCAAGAGTGCAAACTCTAAAAGAAGATGGAGAAACAATGACTACTGATTGGTCAGCTATGCAGGAAGAGATGCAAAAGCAAAGAGAAATGCTTCTGAACTTCCAGAGGAGACTAGAAGACATTGATAACAGAGGATGACAAAATAATTTAAGGATTAGGGGGTTCTCTGAGACCCCTGAAAAAAATAAAAATAAAAACGAATTGGAACAAAGGGTACAATTTGTTTAATCAAATTCTGCAGAAGCCCACAGACAATTGTATTAAAATGGAAAGGATTCATAGAGCATTAAGGCCTAAAAAAATTTCCTCAGAGATCCCGCTGGATATTATTTGCAGAATTTACCACTTTTCCTTGAAAGAAGATATTTATTGACTGGCTTTTTGAAGGCACTGAAATTATGATATTCCAAGATTTGCCTTTATTAACACTTCAAGCTCGCAGAGCCCTCAAACCCATAACTATTGCTCTTACAAGTAGAGGCATTCAGTATTGGTGGTTGTACCCTTTTGCTCTAGAAACATCTTATCAAGGCAAGAATTTATCTATTGTTACATCAGCAGATGTCCTAGCTAACCAAAAAACTATTGATCTCCCAAGAAGACGTGGAAGATTGGACAGGGCTTCAACAAGAAACTTAACAGAAACTCCTATCAAGATCAAAATCTCAAAAGATGACAAAAAAGAACAGCAACTCAAATTTGTCCACCGGAGATTCCATTCATCCACCTGGAGGAAAATGTAATTAGTAATTTAAGGGATTACTCCCTCCCTTTTTTCCTTTTTTTTTCTTTTTCTTGTGACTGCCTAATTCCAATTTGGACTAATCTCAAACTTGACTCCTTTAAGTCCACAAATTCTACCTTGTACTTGTGGGCAATGTTCAGCCTAGACAAGTATAGCACCATTTATTTTGTGTGTATATTATTATTTTTGTTTTTATATTTAGATTTTTTTCCCTCTTTCTACTTTTTTTTAAATTATGTTTTCTTGTGTAAGTGGTTGTTGTTTATATTTAAGCCTTATTCACCATAGTAAAGCTAGGTCAAAGACGATTAGAGAACGCCAAGTCTAGAGCTAGATCTTCCTTGGTTGGGATTAATGGTATACTTTAAGATTATGACACTAAATGTTCGCGGTCTTCATAGCCCAGAAAAACAAACAATATTTCTAAAGGATTTATATAGGAAAGCTCCCAATGTGTACTTTGTTCAAGAGACACACTTTAAGGAAGGCCATGCTCCTATTACTAGATCAAAACATATATCACAGGCCTATTACAGTAACTACCATGGTAGTAAGTCACTAGGAATAGCAATATTTTTTACTTATAATGCTATGTTTTCATCAAAAGAATGTTGTTTCGATCTAGAATGTAGATTTCTCTTTGTTAATGGATTACTAAATAATACTATGTTCTCTTTCGCTAATTTTTATGCCCCCAATACTAATCAAGTACAATTCATAAGGTGTACTCTTAAGCATTTAGAGACATTTGCAGATGGAATTGTAGCATACTGCTCGACCAAACATTAGACAGTACCAACAGGGGGAGAGATATAGCAAGACAACAACATATGCTATTACAAGAGATTTTATTTTCTCATCAATTATATACACTTGGTGGATAATTCATCCACAAGGTAAAGATTACACATTTTACTCACATACAGCTAATAGCTACTCCAGGCTTGATATGCTTTTCATACCACATAGACATTTAAACCTATTACAAGACGCTAGGATAGGCAGTATTACTTGGACAGACCATGCCCCAGCTTTTATACCATTACAACTACAAGGGACTATGCATCAAAACACCAAGTGGTGCTTAAACGAGACCGTCTTGGACGATCAGAGAGTAAGGGAAGAGGTAAAATCTACAAGTGAGTTTTATTTTAAGGAAAATACAACCACTTAGTCTTCAGCCCAGTGGGTATGGGAAGCCCATAAAAGGGTAGTTAGGGGTATTTTGATAAACTGGGGATCCCACTTAAAGAAGGAGAGATCTGCGAAGATATAGCTATTGCAACAACAGATCCAAGTGGAAGAGAGAGCTCAT